TTGGCGCGCGTTTACTACCTCCACAACATGCCCCGCCAGCAGTTTTTGCACGTCTGTGCGGCGGCCGATGGTACAATATTGTCTATCAATGTATCAACTCGTCGGTACTATCTGTAGTGGTGCTGGACACGTTTCCGGTCGGCGGTGGCCGCACGACCTTGGAGATCCTGGCGGTCGGGACGCCCGTCATTGTCCACGAGCCGCGGACGACCATTTTGCAGCTCAGCGCCGCCATGTACACTTTGATGGACATGCCCGAGCTCATTGCATACTCGGACGACGACTATGGTACGTCGTTTTCGTTGTTTTTCGACTAACTACAGATGTGGGATGCATAGTTGCCAAGGCGCTGGCTGTCGGACGCAACGCCACGTACCGTCGTCTGCTCTCGCAGCGCATACTGGACCGGCACGACGTCTTGTTCAATCAGTCGAGTGTCGTGGACGAGTGGTCCAAGATGCTGCAGACGATCGTGGCCACGCCGCCGCCGACTCCCAACAACCAGCAGCAGCAGTCCGACCCAGTCGTCTTTGGCATCTACCTCTACCTCCAAGTACTCGGCGAGACATTTGCGTTTCAAGTGCGCGCGTCCGAGCGCCACCGCACCATGGACATCGCCGCCAAATTTGGCCAAGTGCACGAACTCGAGCCGCTCTACGTTGCGTTCATCGAGACAGTGCTGTACAAGGGCGTCTCGCGGCTCGACCGACCCATTGTCGCTACGTTGGTCGTACCCTCTCCAGTACGTCAACTAACTAACTGTCTCAACCTACATGGATGCGCGTAGGGACTCGACCCCGACGAAATCGTAGTCGACATTCGCCTCGGCGATGACATTTGGCTCGCTGCTCATTACGCCCTCTGGCGACACCGCGTCCCAAGCTCACGAGACGTGATAGACAGCATTCTGAACGAGTGGCGAGTCGTCGGGGGCCAGCTCGACACGACGTTGCAGTGGCGGGCCATCCGAGACCGGTTCCCCGAGACCAACTACGTGCCGGCGCCCATCCACGACAACTGCGTGACGCTCGTTCTCACAAGCTGCAAGCGCCTCTCGCTCTTTCTGCGTACTATGGCGTCATTGACCGAGCTACGTGCGTCGTCGATGGTGTGCGCGACGCTCGTCATCGACGACCACTCGAGCGATGACGACCGGCGCGTCATGACGACGACGTTTCCAACCGTTCGGTTTCTCTACACGCGCGTCAAGGGCCACGCTGTGTCGATGAACACGCTGCTCTCCGTCGTAAGCACGCGCTTTATCTTGTACATCGAGGACGACTGGGTCTTTGGACAAAATGCGATGCAGTCGGTGCAAGACGC